TCCGATCCAACAACATCAGTACGAGGAGACCTGAATCTAGTTAATTCATCGGAGATCATCAATTCAAATCAGGTAACGAGCTAAGAAACCTCGAAAAGTGGGTTACGCCCACTCCCTAACCATCGTCTCACTATGCCTCGATATCAAGTAAATTTATGGTCATCCTAGACGCGATCAGGGGACCGTTCGTTAATGTTGGCAAGGAGCTTTTCGGTCGGGTGTTCGGAACAGTGCTAGGAATATTGCGTATAGACGTGACATCCCTGGATAAAACAAGATTACACTACTGAAGAACATACAACGAAGAGCGACCAGACTAGTCAGCGAATTAAAGTGCCTACCTTATGGCAGCAGGCTAGAGGAGCCTAAAATCCTTCTTCTATGGATGACACAGAGGGGATATGATTTTGGTCTTTGAAATTGTCAGGTGGATAGACTGTGCTCTCCAGTTGGGCGACGTTTTTCGAACTTACACGAAGTACACCGTGGCCACCAATATAGACTGAAGATGACAATCCGACTGTCAGGAGTGACAACACCAGTCTATGATTCACAGAGTGGGCGCAGAACGGCGGAGTTGCGCGTAGAGTGGTTTATTTTGACGGAGACTTTAGTGCTACCTACCACATCCTCTTTTATCTACCCTTCGAGGCTCTGACGGCAAGACAATACCATCACGACCGAATGCAAACTTGGGCGCATTTACTGTCAAACAAAACAGCTCATTTGCGCCTACCACAGACGATCCGGCCCCCACAACATGTTTTGGGCGGTCGTGTGGCGACTGAGATCTTAAATCAATGAGAGAGCCGCAGAGGTCACATTAGGAAGGAGCCACTGATCTTGACTCGCGGTTCATCAGTCAGTTATCGTGCACACACCTGGTACTGACCACACGGACCGAGTTACCTAGTCACTTGGCAACCTTCCGAGCCACGTCGCGTCGTGGTAGATTCAGGAGCGCCAGATCTGTTATGGTAAGGCATGTACTCATCTGTCATAGGGATGGATTCCCTAGTTTTGGCCTCACTCTTTCATCCCTTCCCCATGCACCAACTAGTCGTGAGATTATACGCGGCCTCTGACGTGACGTGAGTCCGTCCGTACGCATGTCACACACAGACAGCGTTCAATGCTTTAAGTCGACACCGGTTAATCGTAGTCATCAGAACTTGGATAAGGAGACAAAATTTCGGAATTTGGGGATACCTCTGGATCCATCAACAACGTTAAATTCCTGAAATTAAACGGGCTAAGAGCCTTTTCGCTAGACGTCTCATCCCTCCTCAAAAACGTTTCAGAAACAGAGACAGTCGATAACATCAGCAAATATGTACCTATCGGTTACTCAACAGGAAATAGGACTACCACGAACGCGCTCAAAGAACTATTAAAAAATTTACAACAAATGCGTGGTTCCTTTTTAACAATCAATTATATAGACAAATAGACGGGGTTGCTATGGTCTCGTCTCTTGTTCCTCTCTTTTCCGATGTTTCCATGGGCAAGCTGGCGAAATTTCGACCAGACGACCAGATCAGTAGGCTAAGACGGTACGATTGCTACGCTGATGACATTTCGCAATTGCCACGGCAGAAAACGACATAACGCCCAGTTGGATGCTATAAATCAGGCTCTTCTGCCAATTAAATTTACTTTTGGGGTGAAATCGACGGGTTTGCCGCCCTTCGTAGACGCTCTTCTAGGTAGGAGAGCTGGCGGTAGCGTTCAAAGGAGTGTCTATTGAAAGAGAACTTTGTCAGGACAATAAATGAACGTTCGTAGCTCTGTACCCTTCATCAGAAACGTGATGCAATCCGTTCTTGGCGCAAATGGCCGAAAAAAGCTTGTTCGCAGACAGCACCGATGAGGAAATGAGAAAAGCCCAGAGCCCACTTCGCGTGACTGGGTATTCTGACAGATTTGCCACTAAGAATGTTATTGGCAGTTTCGCTTTAACTAACTGACTTTTCACACACTGCCTTTGTTTTTAACTGGGCGGCGTTGACTGTTAAGTCCATTCTGGAGTGATCGTTCGCTTGGCTTCTCTGGACTTGGTTTTAGCATGGGGTCGAGTTATCGATTGACTAGGCTCGCTAAAAAACAACTCTGAGCTCTACAACGTAACACTACCCTTTCATATTCCACGGTTGAACGCACCATTGTATTACCACCACCCTTAACATAGCATGTAGTCCTCTGCATAGATAAATCGTCACGGAAAGGCTGTAACATAAAAGTCCGGCAACGGACAAAACGGTCCAACCCGGTCAACGATGAACCCCCAAGCACCATCCTGCCTCCGTATGAGATACCACATTACAAGGATGAAGTCCGTAACTTGCCAGATGGCGAGTTAGCCACGGGGGATAAACAGACACACTCAGGATCAACCGGTACCCATATCAACTGGGAGGCTAAGCGTGGAGGTTCCGGCCGGCACTCCCTTTGGGAACACTAACAAAGTACTTTCGTGATTAGGAATAAACCATATACGGTCGTCAACCTCAGTCACCCCACCACGCACGAGGTGATGCAGAACCACCAAACTACCCGACGCCTGCCATATATTTTGGTAATTTAGAGTCAGCCGAGAGGTTTACCCACGGCCTCCACGGATACAGTGCTCCTTGTTCTCTAACACTTATTCCCTGTACGAGCTCTAGAAAAGAAGATATAATGGAGCTCCCACAATCACAGAGCTCCGCGGAAGGGTTTCACCAGAAGACGATGGTATGTAACTCGAGTGAAACAACTAAAGAATCGTTTAGGACTGATTGCCCCGGACAGAAGAATGACGCGCCTACAACCATAACATTGTCTGACTGAATCGCACCACACACTGTCGCCCATACAAGATTATCTTTCAAAGAATTCCAGGCAAATTGCCAGTTACCCACATAGAACCGACGGTTCATACAGAAAAATTAGATCCTGGGGCACCGGATAGTTTTAAGATTATTTAACAATATTGATGGCTTTCAGAAATTGTTTAATCATACATAGCCTCATCCTTATATCCTCAAAGTTTGGGCAGCTATCGTCCCAATAAATTTGGGTTAAAGTCTTGTTTTGCTTTTCCAAAATGGAACCTCAGGCAAGCCTTCGTAGAAATCTGAAGGAGACTAAACACCAAGTTCCCATTTGAAACCCATTGTCAATATGAAGAAATATACCTAGGAGCGCTCGAAAACTGTAACAATTTTGTCTCGTTACGGATCGCTTTTTCCTGTTCTTCGTGCCCTTTTTGAGGGAAAATTGTCAACACTTACGTCTCAGCACTGCGGAAAGCTCATACCTCTCATCCATCTGGTTGATAGTGAGACCGAAGTCAGGCACAAACGAAGTTTTTACTTTATTTAAAAACCGCTCCTAAGAGTAGACGGCCAATCGATGTCGCCTTGCATTTCCTAACTCTTATGGCTTCAAGTTTAAGGTCGCTGAAGTTAAAAGACTTTCATCCAGGAGCAAAAATGCACCAATTCTTGTCAAATTATTTTCGTCGATAGCAGTGGACTTTATGTTCTTCCATTTGGAGCGCTCAGCTCAACATCGTTGAGGAAATAAACTCTTTATTAGTCGGAATAAAACTCCATTGCAACGAAACGTTTTTCCCCCATTAACAAACGTACAGCCACCCCAGAATTCTACCCATCTGCCGTTTGCCTCTAAAGCAGATTTTCCATCGCGCGTCAACCAGATCTTTCCCCTATTTGCAGCGGCTCCAGTTCCATTTAGCGCTTCATTTGAGCACATTATCACTAAGTGGAACCAGTCAATTTAAAACGCCACCAAAAGCACGGATTGGTCAAATGCTGTTGCCAAATTTACTAGGACACTTGGTCTTAACTGTAAAGATGGACCAATCCTTGAAGCACAATCGGCCTCCAAGACTCAGAGTGACAGTTCGACCATCGGTTTCGATGATGTCCACCGTGTGCCCCACAGTTGCAGCAGCAATGGGAGCAGGGACGGTGACTTACGCAGGGGTTTATAGTGCCGGTAGACTTGCGTAGCATCTACCTACACTCTCTCCTCCTCCCTCGCCCGAGCCCGGTGTCAAGACAGAGTCAAGAAGACCAGGGACGAGGGAGGCCGCAGGTGGATGGCTCGGACGGATCCTCACCTTGGCGTTCCACCACACCCCCTGGTCCACACAACAAATAACCAGGATTTCAACCAACACATCAGAGATTTGGAGGCTGGCAAGGCCGAAGCCGCACCTGGGCGTGCCGCCAACGCCTGGCTCGGATCCCACAATGTAATGGGAGTGCCATAAAGGCCACATTAAAAAGGAGCCATTGCAGCCTGACTCTCAGACCGCCTCCAGTCAAGGAGGAGGTCCAAGTTACCCCGTCAGTTGGCAAACTTCCAAGCCACGGCTTTTAGCGCACCGTGATAGCTTCAAGCGCGTCAGATTGTTTATAGTGAGGAGGAAGTGCGCTGAGTCGTCGACCTCACTCTCCCTTTCCACTCCCACACCCCAGCCGCTCTCCGAGCCGGTCAACAGACTGGAGTGGGGAATGGGCGCGGTGGCTGTCATGGTCGACTGACCATGACTGCGCGCGCCACGGCACGACCTGGCCCCCCATACACACAACACCAGGATTTCACACAACGGGGGTTGAACGGCGTGTCTCTCACTTGCGTGAGAGGGCCGTGGAAGGTGCTGTTTCAGCCCGTCTCCAGCCCACCAGTCCGCCACTCCACACAACACACAGACACAACGCGACGAACTGCATGAACCGAGAGCGGGCGTCAATCAGCAACCTTCCTATCCACGACGCTTGAGGTGTCGGGATAGTCTCGGACTCAAGTCACCCGTGCAGCCGAAGCCGCGGGGGGACCGAGTCGAGATGCGGACTTCCCGCTTGCGTGGGAGGTGGCAGTTGGGTGCATGAGGTGTGTGAGTGTTGATTTCTGGTGGGGTGATGGTGGTGGTGGTGGTGGAGGAGGAGGAGGTAGGGAGTGAGTGAATGTGTGGTGTGACTGGCGGTTGTCTACCGCAGGCCGTCGTGGAGGCGCATGTGGTCGAATAGGCCCATGCGATGCCTGAAAGTGCGAGGGCGGTGTGGGCAGTGGAGGCGACTGCGACGGGTGTAGATTGGTGCTTCAGGCACTGGTTCGTCAGTCTCTGTGCGATGGATTCGCAAGTGACCGACCAGGCCGATGCGTGAGGTGAATGCGCGTGGACAGTGTGGGCATGAGAAGTCGGCGGTGTCAGTGTCAGCTACAGAGGAGGCGGTGGTGGTGGTGTCGCAGACGGATGGAGCGAGGTTGGGGGTGTGCACGGTGGATGTGTTGGATGTGGTGGGTGTGTCGGGAGTGCGGTCAAGGCCGCCCTCGTGGATGCGCATGTGGCCGAAGAGGCCCATGCGATGCCTGAAGGTGCGAGGGCAGTGTGGGAAGTGGAGGCGACTGCAGCGGGTGTAGATTGGTGCTTCAGGCACTAGTCCGTCAGTCTCTGTGCGATGGATTCGCAAGTGACCGACCAGGCCGATGCGTGAAGTGAAGGTGCGGTCGCAGTGAGGGCAGGTGTAGTCCTGACCCTCATCGCTGGATTCGGGGGAGGTGGTGGTAGTGTCGGTTGTTGCGCGCGGGACAGTCGCCTGGGCGGCCGTCGTTGGAGCAGTGGGCGAGGAGTAGGAGGAGGAGGAGGAGGTGGATGGAAGTGGTGGGTCAGAAGAATCGTCAGAGTTAGTTGGCGGCGGAGAGGAGGAGGAAGAGGCGGGCGGGGGGACGATGGTTGGTGCAATTCGAGAGGCGCAGTTAATCCGAAGATGTCCAACAAGTCCGATTCGAGCCAGGAATGTCCGTTGACATCGAGGACACGTTGGAAGCGGTTGTGCGGCGGCGTTGCGTACTGGGCGAAGTTGTGATTTGCGGGCTTCGCGTTTCGCTTTGGCGGCAGCGATGCGGTTGGCTTCGTAGATCGCAGCGCCTGTCTTCACTGTCCTCCTCCAGGTCGGTCGATCGTGTGCGAGCTCCTCCCAGTTGGTGGGGTTGATTTGCAGGCTTTTCAGGGAGGACTTCAGGGTATCCTTGTAACGGCGAATCTGGCCTCCTTGACGGCGAGAACCCGTCGCGACGTCTCCGTAGAAGAGTCGTTTGGGTAGTCGCTCGTCGTCCATGCGCACCAGGTGGCCGCTCCAGCGCAGCTGCATTTGCCTCAGTATGGCGTAGATGCTGAGGATTTCCGTCCGTTCCAGCACATCAGTGTCGGGGATTCGATCCTGCCAGTTCAGCCTCAGGATGCGACGAAGACAACTGAGGTGGAAGTGGTTCAGACGGCGTGCCTGCTTTGCGTACACCGTCCAAGTCTCCGCTCCATACAGTAGTGTTGGCAGGATGACGGCCTTCGTGCTCAGCTGAAGATCGTGGCGATTCCAAACTGTGCTTTGGAGGCGACCGAAGGCTTGACTGGCTTTCGAGATCCTGTTGGCGACTTAGTCGTCGATCTTGGTGTTGCGGGAGAGAGTACTGCCCAGGTACGGGAAGTTCTCCACCACTTGCAGTAGGGTCCCATTCACGCTGATTTGCGGCGACGCGTTGGGGGCTGTGGCTGAGTTGGGTGGCAGTTGGTGCATCACCACCGTCTTCTGCGTGTTAATGACCAGACCGAAGTTCTCGCAGACGGCGGAGAACGGGTCCATGCTCCGTTGCATCGCCTCTTCCGAGGTGGTGTTCAGGGCGCAGTCGTCGGCGAAGAGGAGTTAGTGAACGGTGATTGTGGATACGCGCTATTGGAAGTGCATCCGCCGTTGATTCAGGAGGTGACCGTCCGTCCTGTAGGCGATGCGGATCCGGGGGCGTTCGTCGCGGTAGGCGTCCATCAGCATGACAGAGAACATAAGACTGAAGAGGGTAGGCGCCAGCACACAGCCCTGCTTCACTCCATTGGTCACTACGAATGCCTCTGAGACAACTCCGTTGTCCTTGACTCGCGCCATCATACCGTCGTGCAGCTGACGCACCATCTGAGTGAATCGCTCCGGACAGCCGAATTTCTGCATGATCTTCCACAGTCCTTCACGACTCACCGTGTCGAAGGCTTTCGTCAGGTCCACGAATGTAGAGTATAGGTGGGTCCGCATCTCCTGACACTTCTCCTGAAGTTGACGGGCGGCGAAGATCATATCCGTGGTCCCACGAAGGTGACGGAAGCCGCATTGGCTTTCCGACAGAAGGCCCTGTTCCAGATGATTATTCAGACGATTGAGGAGAATGCGAGCGAAGATCTTCCCGGCGATGTTCAGCAGGGAGATGCCGCGGTGATTGTCGCAGACTTGGCGATTCCCTTTGCGCTTGTAGAGATGCACGATGGTTGCTTCTTTGAAATCTTGCGGGACTTCACCTTGACGCCACATCTCTTGGAAGAGCGCAGTCAGGTGATCCATTAGTTGGGGACCTCCGTGCTTGTAGACCTCAGTAGGGATTGCGTCCGATCGGGGGCTTTCCCGCTGGAGAGCTGCTGCACGGCCCTGATGGTTTCCTGGAGAGATGGCGGGAGGTCGAGGTCCACGTTGGTCTCCAATTGCGGCAAACGCTCGATGGCGGCGTCGTAGATGACGGAGGGGCGGTTGAGGACGCCTTGGAAATGCTCGGCCCATCGCTGCAGGATTTGCATCTTCTCAGTCAGGAGAGTGTTGCCGTCGGCGCTGAGGAGAGGAGCAGTGCCCTTCGTCGGCGGACCGTAGACAGATTTGATCGCAGAGAAGTTCTTCCATTCGTTGCGGTCCGCGTACTCTTGGATCTCCTCAGCTTTGCGAGCAGTCCAGGCGTCCTGCATCACGCGCAGTCGTTGCTGAAGTTGGCGGCGACTGCGGTAGAAGGCAGCTTTGGTGTCCTCTGTGGGGTGATCTACGTAGGCTTTGTGTAGGCGGTTCTTCTCAGCAAGCAGATTTCTGATGGCGGCGTCGTTGTCGTCGAACCAGTCCTGGTGTTGGCGGGGAGCGCGACCGAGGACGGCGAGTGCCGTCGACTGGACCGTGTCTCGCAGTTGACACCAGCGGTTCTCCACGGAGGCGTTCTCGGCAGCGGCGGCGTCGGCAGCGATAGGAAGGTTGTCTAGCCGTTGAACTAGCTCATTGCTGAAATGAAGATGGTGAACGGGCAAAGACAACAAGGCAACATTCAGCTTACCTGGGGGTCGCTTACCTTGTGGTCTCCTGCGAGGCTGTAGGCAATTACGCATCTTCGAGATGACGAGGCGATGGTCGGTCCACCCGTCAGTGCTCGCGATCGCCTTTTTCACCAGCACGTCCCGCTGATCTCGCCTCCGGACGAGGACATAGTCCAGCAGGTGCCACTGGCGCGACCGAGGATGCCTCCAGGTGGCCTTCTCTCGCTCCAGCAGGCAGAAGAAGGTGTTCGTCAGGATGAGGCGGTGTTCTGCGCAGGTGCGGAGAAGCAGCAGACCATTGTCGTTTGAGCCGCGGAGACCGTGGGGACCCAACACTCCTCTCCAGGCAGTATGGTCTGTGCCGACGCGAGCGTTGAAGTCACCAAGGACAATCAACTTGTCCGCCTTCGGCACAGTCGCCAAGAGGGCGTGCAGGTCCTCGTAGAATTTGTCTCTGACGGCGTCGGGGTTGGTCATCGTCGGAGCGTAGGCGCTGATGATGGTGGCAAATTTGCCTCCCCAGAGAGGCAGGCGGAGGCTCATCAGGCGATCGTTGATGCCCTGCGGCAAACAGGGCAGTCGTCCCACGATGTCGTTCCGAATGGCGAAGGCGACACCCGCGTCCCGTCGCTCTGCCCTGGGTCGACCGCTCCAGAAGGTGTAGCCGGCACCCACCTCCTCCAGTTGGCCTTGTTCGGAGAATCGAGTCCCGCTGAGTGCGGCGATGTCCACCTTGTATCGCGCCAGTTCCCGTGCCACTAGTGCCGTCCTTCGTTCCGGTCGGTTGCTCCTCGGATTGTCTAAAAGGGAACGAACATTCCAGGCTGCCAGAGTGAGCGGACTCACCCTGCCAGTCTGGTGACAACGAGTGGGGCGACGGGAAGAAGGTGGAGAAGAAGATGGCGAAGGAGAAGAATAGGCAGAAGAATAGGCAGAGGAAGAGAAAGAAGAGGTAGGATGAGGAGGTGAGCGAGTATCGTTGTTGTCGTTATAGGTATTGTTGTTGTTTCGATTTTGATTGTTTCGACCATGTTTAGATGTCTGCGGCCCTGTGTAGCCTGAAGACGGCGTGGTGCCCAGCAATGTTTAGGCCACCATCTCTAGGCCATTCCCCTCGTGGGGGCTGGCAGTGCCATCCCTGAATAGGGCTGCCATGTGCCGTTGTGGCACGGCCGAACTCCACTATGGGGCCACGCCTTCGGGTTGTAGTGGTGAGCGACTCGAATTCGCCGTAAGCCGCGGTCTCCGACGGCGTAGGTGGGCGCGTCAAGGCGATGTCGATGTGGAGATCCATCCCGTCACCGGCTGTCCAGCGGCGTGCAGAGACGAACCACGTCACGAGGGTGCCGACGCAAGGTTCCATTCGACCTTCCATCCAGTGGAATCCGCAAACGCTGTGCACACGGCACAGCGCACAGGGCCCCCTCACCTGGTTTAGCCCGCCGGTCGAGACGATTGCCCGGGGTGTGGCCGCTGAGCAGAGCCCAGCTACGTGGAGCCACAGGTGAGAGTTGAGTGCCAGCAAGTGAACGCTAGGCGTAGTCTCACCTGCAAGCAAGTGAGCGACCACCACGACCATCACGTGAACCCACCGCTGACACCCCTACACCCCAAGACTCAGCGTAGTGAGTAGCTAATAAACCTGGGTCAAGTCCATCCCGTTACCGCGCCAGGACACTCAGGTCTGACCTAGCTGTAAGATCAAATAAGCCAGATAGTAGTCCAGGGAGATCTTTACCTGTTCCTATGCCTTATTCTCAAGTTAACGAAAACACCACAGTTGTGAAGCCCACTAGCACACCAGCCAGTAAAATACAAGTATACAATGTTAACGATAGTTTTTACGACCCCACTGCTGGCCTGGCACCCAAATAATAAAGCCTTCTCCTAATGGGATTCGATCCCATGTCCCGTCGTGGGGTGAGCAGCGTGATCGCCACTACACTATCGGCGCACGGCGAACGGACTGAAATAAATAAAGGAGTAAATATTATTCGTAGTACAAATGACTGCAACTCTTTATATATCGCTGTTAAGTCACCTCCCGCTAAACGAGCAAGGAGCCTGGTAAGTTGTATGGATATCAAATACGAAGACGAAGCCTGTACGACATGTTTCGGACTCCTTCAAAAATTTGCGGAAATGGAGAGGGAGATAAAGGGCCTTAAAGTGGAGATGGAGAAGCTGAGGAATCTCCCTCGCTATTCA